TTAAAGTGTTAGAATGACACCATTATTTGGGTTGGTTCCATTTTGTTGTGATTAAAAAAAAAAAAAGGCTACACTGTACCACCTCTTGTGAGCTCAGGTGTAGCAAATTCTCTAGGTCAAGGCTGTGAATAACCTCCCAGGTCATGCGGTCCAAAAAGTCATTTTCAGTTCAGCACTTACTGCCACTGCCAGACAGAAGGTTTATCACTTACGTTCCCACTGGCAGTGCTTGAGAGGCCCCGTTTCTGCTCCTCACGGTTTGGGTGGGGTATTCACCGCAGAACGGCCGGAAGTAACGAACTAGCTCTATCAGCAACAACGCGGAGGGATCTCAAGAACATAATGGCGAGTGAAGAAAGCAAGTCGCTGAGTGCAAAAGGATTGTGGGGGCACTCCGTTCTGTCTGTAATTTTTTTTTGGTTAAGAATACTTGAAGGGAATGAAACAAAATATTGATAAATATCCATTTTAAGTGAGAGGGAAAAGGGAGAATTTGACATACTGTTTTCAAGACTTTTTAAAGTAGTAATTTTTTTAAAAATTGAAGAGGAGGAACTGATGTGCAGAGATTTCCAAAATGCTCTGGATATAACAGATTATTTTTGAGCAACTTCCAAATTTGGACTCATTTTTCCCCATACAGAGGTTCACATTACTGGATCTGGCGCGCCTTCCCTTGTGAACACTGTTTTAAAGCAGATGAAATATCAAGGAATTTTGGAAGTTCTTATTTTTAGCTGGTAAAATGAAAAATTTCCACAGCATGTAAAATAAGTGCTCGAGTCGCAGCCTGCCTCATTCGCTCCACCTAACTATGATCACATCTAAAAACTTTTGCAAGGCTATTCTGGGCCTGGGGTGCGGAGGTGACTCACTGTGTCCCTCCCTCACCCCACCCCCCTCCTGTTTATTCAGGTGAAATCAGATTAAAATGAACATCTAGGGCAGCTTTAGAAGGGAAGTCTCTCAGAGACTGAGAGACCCTGAGAGACTGCCTTAGAGCAGGGCTGATGAGAGTCATGTGGATGATGCGAGCTGGCTTCTTAATTAGAGTTGCATACAAGTCACTGAGTACCCATTTCCCAGGAACAGCACTAGTTTTCACAGACAGGCCTTCCTCTGTGTTCCCGTGAGGGGAGCATTTAGGGTGAGCATTGGCAATGTTTTTTTTAATGCTTTCTTTTTGATAAAGGTAAAAGTCTCATGCCTGCTTTTAATGTTATCTGTGTTAACATAAATAAAAGGGGATCAGATGCGCCCCATACCTGGTCGAGAATCTCTGCTCAAGATCTAAGTGCTAGCACAGTCTTGGAACTCTCTGGTTCAGGTCAAATCTGTGTTTGATGCCTGACCTGACCACTCATAGGCTGTGGACTTCAGGTGAGCATCTTGCCTTCTCTCAGCTTCTATCCCCTTCTCTGAAAAGGTGATTTGGACACCACTCAGGGCTGCTTTGCAGATTCTGCAAGGCACTTAGCACCATTACCAGTTACTTTAAAAAAAAAAAAGACAACTAACTCTGAAAACTTTAATTGGAATTATAGCCTTGGGAAGTAGGCTAACCTCCCTTACCCCATCATATAGATGAGAATACTGAGGCCCAGACACAGAGTTTAGCAAGTTACTTCACCTAATTGTAGAACAGGGCTAAGCCTCGAGGGCTTGTATGTCTAGGCCAGGCCCCTTTCGCAGGGCCAGCCCTGGCCTAGTGTCTGTGTGTGAATCTTCTCCCCTGTCCAGAGTGATCTGGCTCAGATGGCACCCTGAGACCCCTGGATCCCATTCCTTAGCACTTGTTAAGTGAGTACTATATTACCTCTTACGTGTTCTGTTAACTGGGCTGTGAGCTTAATTTCAGAGGAGACCAAGTCCCCTAGTCTTTCTCAACAAGCCACTAGCCTCATAGAAACAGGCTGAATTCCATGTGAGACACTTTTAATGGAGACCTCTGTATACCCTCATTTTAGCTCCAAGTTTCACCCCCAGCTCTTTTCTTTTTACCAGCAACACACACACACACACACACACACACACACACACACACACACTCTAATCTAATTTTCTTTTCTGTCCCCTGAACCCTTTACCTTTTGCCCTCTCTCAGGTTGCTGAAATTCTCAGTCTCAGTTTCCTCATCCATAAAGTGAGGACATCAATATCTGTCCTGCATATTCTGTGGGTCACAATGAGATGCTGCATAGGAAAACCTTGTGTAAACTTTGAGGCAGTTTTCCTCTCTGACTCTAACCCACCCTGTCCAGCCTGAACCCACTCCTTCCTCAAATGAGCAGGAAGATTGTGTCTTCTGTTCTGGAAGCCTTTGTCAGCAGACTGCCCCAGCTGCCTTGGCTGAGAGGGGACCAGGTGGTCCCACATTCAGTCAAGGAGGAAGAAACAGCACATCAGTGCTGAAGAATCCACTGAGTTTCTAGCACTTGTTAGGTGAAACTCTCTGTTGGCTTCTAAGCTAAACTCATTCCAGGAGACCTTCTCTCTTACCAGTTTTTAGCAATGAAATCTGTCAAGTTACTTAATGTATCTGAGGCTCACTTTCTTCATTTAAAAATGTGATAGTACTTTCCTCATTGGGTTACAGTGTCAAATGAGGACACATAATGGTAGGCAGGCAGGGCATGTGAATTCTTTATTTTTCTCTCTCTTCTGTTTGTCCTTCTGAACCTCTGTGCCTCTGTTTGTTTTCCCATGAAATGGGGATAATAATACCTGGCCTAGTTGTTGTGTGACTATGGAATAGAGGCTGCGGTAGGGCTTTGAGATGGTGACAAGTAGTATAAATAACTGCCTGGGGTTATTCTCCGGGTAGATGGCCTTGAACTGATGGGTGAGCTATTGTGTGCAGCGGCCACATTGAGGTCACTTAACACAGCTTCTTCCACTGTCCTTCCAGGGGCCCCTGACGCTCTCGCATCTCCCTGGGGTGCTCTGCAGCCTCCTCACACCTGCCACTCACTTGCCTCACCCTCTCCTGTCTCTCTGCTCTGGGTGACAAGGCACAGGACCTTTCAGTTCACTGCTCTCTAAATGAAAAATTGGTGTCTGCCCTAATCTTGCCAACTGTCAGGAGCTGCCTGTCACGTGACACCCTACCCCTTAGCCTCATGAATAAACACCAAAAAGACTCATTATGAAGAGATAAGGAAAACAGGAAATTCCCTTAAAAGCCACCCTCCCCCCACCAGAGTCCACCAGCATCTTTGGCAACCAGAGGACCTGTCTGCTCCACACTTAAGGAAGAGCCCTTGTGTCTTGGATCCAGAGGAGACTATGGGCAAGGCTGGCATGGGGGTGGGAGCAGGATTAGGGATTTGGGAGGGCAGGCCACAGAGGCAGGGGGACTGAGCTGCTCTATTCTGGGCACAGTTTCAAGGCCAGCTGCAGGGAGAACAAGCAGTTGCTGTGCGCCTGCAGCTGGCAGTGACTGGGGCAGGGCTGACCCTCACTTAGGGTATATTTAAAGAGACCCTACTAGAGGGTCATGCCAACAGGAAAAATGCGCACTCTGGTAGTGACGCTCTCTCCAGCCCAGCACTCTTCTTCCTGCAGCTTCTAGGCAATGAATTTACAGATCAACAGGGAGCCTGGCTCCTCGGCCTTTCCCAGATGTAGGTGTGGGGGGGACCATGGGGGGACACAGTCCGGGCCTCTAGGCCTCTCTGCCCTATAACTGAGCTGTCCAAAAATTCAGGGGGATTAGCTGGATTGGCTCCTCCCACCCTGGGGTTGGTAACTCAGCAACCAACGGGGAGAGGCAGAGGGATGAGTCAAATGCAAGCACAGAATCTCTGGCTTTGTGTTTTGTTTGTGAACACTCCCTGTGAGTGCAGACCGCCTTCCGGCAGGGAGTGGTGGGGCTTTCCCACACTGCTTCAGGCCAAATGTTGCTTCTTATAGGGATGCGCAGGCCCCACTTGATTACTAATGGAGGCTTAGGGACAAAGCCTGTGGGCCAGGAGGAGCCTATCCTCTCTGGCTTGGTCTTTCACAAGTGAAAATAAGACAATGGGCCAGAATCCCTTGGGAAGGTGGGGTTAGTAGCTGAGAACTACAGGCAAGGGAACCAATGGGCATGAGATCCTGCAGAAGAGAGACTGAGCTGATGTGCATAGAAGTTTGGGCTTCTATGGTGGCCGGAGAAGGTGGCCGGAGACCAAGGAGGCCTTCTCAGAGCAGTGAGAGCACTTTCCCAGAGCCACCAACAGAAGTGGGGTGGGAGTGGGCAGCTTATCAGCCCCAGAAGGGGAGTCGACAGGCAAACTGCCTGAGGCAGGCAGGCTGCTACAAGCACCGGAAGAATCAGTAAGACAAGAGTGGACCGACAGGATCAGCTACATAGTTTGAAGGGCTCAGTTCAAAATGAAAATGCAGGTACCTTTGTTAAAGAATTATCAAGAATTTCAAGATGGTGACAGAAGAGCATTAAATGGAGGGCCCATCTGAGCGACTACAGAGATTGCACACCTGCAAAGCCAACACTGGCTCCTTATAAGTTGGCCCCTTGAAGTAGCCGTGAAAGCCCATGTGAGTGTGCTGGGGGATGCCTGGTAATCTCTGGCCTTGACTCCCTCTCACCCCTGCTGCCCTATGACCACTAGGTGCCAGATTTTTCCCAGGCTTGGGGCGCTGCCTCTAGTGCAGAAGCAGCTCCTCTCCGTGGGCTGGTAGCAGCTAAGTCTTCGCTGCCCTGAAATGGGGGAATTGCAAGGCATAATGGGAAGAGGGCTGAGGGCAGGAATGGACTGTGGCCTTAAGTCCTCTGAGCCACTAGGCTCCAGAGCTCCAAGGACTCCCTGGACAGGCCAAGAGAGGCCAGCGCAGTGGCCAGAGCCTCCTCTGAGTGAGGCTGCGGAGGATGGAGGTAAACATGGACTTCACTCTGGATCACCAACTAAGGACCCAAGGGGACATGTCCTGAGGGTGTGTGTGACAGTCCAGGAGCAGAATCAAGGTTCAGGAACCTTTCTTCCCACTTGGGAACTTACCTCCAACTCTATGTGGTCGTGGAGTTTCTTGCAGGTGGCTGCAAAGGTCTCTGAGGTGCCAAATTCAAAGTACCACAGCTTGTTCTTCATCCTGGACCATGAAGCAGAGACACGGCTCAATATTCTGTACTTGAGATGGTCATGTAAAATAGCTATGTTATTGGGGCTGGGAGGCCTTGGCCCTCCGAGTTCCCCAAGCTTCTGTTTTCATCACTTGTTAATCAGATGAGCAAGGGTGGAAATTTTTTTACCAACTGTTCTTGCTCTGAGCTTAAAGGGAAAAACTCATTCATTTCTTAGACATCATGGCTACTCTGGGTGAATTGCCAGCTGGTCTCTGAACTTCCTGGGGGAAGTTTAGAGCAGGAAACAGGCCTGTTTGCCTCTGTATCCGAATCGAGAGAAGAGTTCCATGAAAATCTACCAGTAGTGGCAAGTGACAGCATGCTCTGGTCACTGGCCTTTCTACTACTAATGCAGAAGGCAGAACCTTCTCTTGGGAATAGTTGGGGTACAAAGGGAAGCTCACACTGCCTTTTGAGACTGGAGGGATGTACAGTCTTGGGGTGGTGGAGGGACATCTGCACAATGAACCAGCCAAGACAGGTGCTGCTTTGTGTATGGTCTCACTGGGGGAAGCAGAGTGGAGAGAATTAGGCACAGAATTGCAGGAAGGATGGAAAGAGAAGAAAAAGAAAAGTGAGTTGTTTGGTAGCAGTGATTTCCCTCACTTATTCCTCAATTGTATTTGGCTATGACCACGTTTCTTTTAGGTAGACCTTGTCATATTTGCTTCAAAGTAGGAGCTCACCATTTTTTGAGCTCTCAGTTTTTCAACATTTCACTTAGTGGGGAAAAACAATGGGGTTCCCATGCAGCTGGGGGCTTTGCAAAGTCAGATGGTATGTACTGACACTTGGTTGTTTTGATCAGATGGTCTCACCAGGAAATGTTTCTGAAGGTATTCCATTCCTTCCATCCCAACTGTTGTCCCACTATCAGGGGCTGGCTAAGAAAAGGGACACCTGTCCAGTTTATGAGCTGGCAGATTTTGCTAAGGAAGGATTAAACAAAATCACATTCTTCTTGGCACATTCTTCAGTAAAGAGGAGGCTACCTTGTGTGTTGCTGATCCTCTGTGCTCGGATTTGGGAACTAAGAGGAAAGCAGCATTCTCCAGAAGGAAGAAGGCTCTTATTTCTTCCTAGTTTTCCTTAGGCTATAGCAGATGACTCGTCAGAATAGCAGTCACAACTTTTCTGTCTGCATTTCTCTAAAGGTCCACCCAGAACTCGAAGATAAGACTATGTTTTTCCATCGCTTGAAGATTTCTAAGACCTAGTTGATTGGGAAGTAGCTTTTCTGACTCTTAGCTTGCATGAAAAGAAATGACAAATCATGAAGGAAATAAGAATAAGCAAGATTTTGGGAGTTATACCTATTGTGCTGTGTCACAGGTATGCACCTTCAGGGTGGCCAGGCAAGGGTCTGGAGCAGGCTGTTTCACAGAAGGCATTCTCATCTGTATGTACCCCCCCCCCCCAGTGCTTTTGCTTTCTGTGCATGCCATGATGTGAAAAAATGTTGGAAAACATTATTCTAGGCCACAGTCTCTCTGCATGCACAGTAATGTAAACACAAGGCAAGTTGTGATTCAGCAGTTCAGGGTTGGGGCCTAAGAATACCTTGTTTTATAACAAGCTGCTAACACTGATCCAGAAACCACACGTCCACTTGGGAGCATCTAGAGACTACATATGTGGTTTGGAAACATTAGTATTCATAAGAGTTAACTGAGGGATGTGAATAAAATGCTGCTTCCTGGGCTCCCATCTGCAGAGTTTCTCTGTGATACTTGTAGGAGGGAGCCCAGGAATATGCATTTCTATGAGCGCCCAGGTGATCATTACATAGGTGGTCAGTTGTCAGGACTTTGAGAAACACGGCTCTGTCATTCCCAGTGAACTGACAACTGAGGAAGAGCACAGACCGATTAAAGCTGGAAGAGGGAATTTCTCAGGGAGGTGAGAATGAGGGTCAGTGCCTTTCAATAAACTGATGACAAAAGACCCAATAACAGGAAAAACGCAGATTGTCATAAATGTCAAGTCTGAGCATTCCTCTCCAGCAGCAAGAACATCTCTGTAGCCAGGAGACCTGCTTTGTGATGCCATTTTCAAATATCACTGCAGGTCTGAATCATGACTTTTGAGAGTTATTGCCAGGAGATTTAGAGCTTTAATAAAAATTTTTGGAAGCCACAAGCTATTGTGTCCAAAAGTGACTCTTCTGATGAGCTAAATGAGGTTAAGAGGTCATGGTCAGGTCAGTATTGAAGAATGACTGAAAAGATCAAACAGACTACTTGTCCATTGCTGCTTAGATGTCTATTGTGGCTGTGTAATCTTTGACAGATTTTGAGGCCTCAGTTTCCTCATCTGTAAAATGGAAGCAGTAAAAAGATCTGCTTCAAAGTGCAGTTGAGAGTAGATGAGATGATTAGAAAGCACTTCACATGATGCTTGTTGCATAATAAGCTCAACAAGAATGTTCGCTACTTATTAGCTATTATTTTAATGTCTTGAGTTGGCATATTTGGATAACATAGCTAGGCAAAAGTGACAGTGCATACATGATACACTCAACATTTTCAGGAACAGAAAAATATGTGATCATATTTGTCAGGTCACATGTCTTGACTTTTCATTGAAAACATATGTTCACCACATGTCTAATCTGCTAGATTTTTCCAGAGTCATAGATCACACCCAATTCCTTGGTTAGTTATCTTGACTGGTCACATGATTGTCCAAAGATGTTGATTGAGACTATGCTTCTGAGAAAGCACTTGTTTGGTGTGAGAAAAAAGTATTAATTCAAGAAACATTTGTTGTGCCAGGACTAGATGGGGGTGTGCTAGGCACAGTGAAGAATAAAACATGGCACTCCATGGGCCAGGCACCAAAGGAGGACAGACAAGGAGACAGACCATAGTGTTGTGAGCTAAGCACGAAGCACTGTGGGTAGCTGGGAGGAGGCGACTTCCAATTCTTGATGCAGCCAGGGACAGTTAGGAAAAGGATCCCAGGCAGGCAGGGCCAGGGTTGAGTTTTGAAGGATGTGCAAGGGAACCGAGAAGGTGACAAAGGAGCATCCAAGCAGAGGAAGAAGCTGAGGCAATGGCACAGGGCAAGAGCGAGCGTCAGCCTGCTGGAGGGGACCTGGAACTCAAGGTGGGATGCAGGAGGACTGGACAGGTAGGGCTGCAGGGGCAGACCGGAGAAAGACTATAAAGGTTGGGGATGCCGTGCTTCAGTGTTTGGGCTTTATCTTAGTCTGTAGTGTGTCATGGATCATCCTTAAGTAGGGGTGGCAGTGGGAGTACTGGCAGTAGTGACCTGGTGAGATTTGTGCTTATTAAAGATCCCTCTGCCCCAAGTATGGAGGGCGGATTGGAAGGGGTGAGTACAGACGGGCGGCTTGGAGAATCGTTTGGAGGTGGTATAGGAATCCAGGAGAGAATCGGGAAGGGTCTGAAGAAAGGCAGTGACAACAGAGTTCGGGAGAAGAGAACATATTCGCAAGCTAAAATGTAGGAGGTGGAATTCACAGCACTGGTTGGGTGTAAGGAGTGAGTGAGAAGGAGCAGTCCAAGTGGCACACCCAAGTTTTTGTCTTCATAGTGCGATGGATGGGAGGTGCCACTTACTGAGAGAGGGGCATGGGAGATTAATGCCCCAGTGGCAGCCCTTTCTGTCATCAAAGGTTTTTGGCCCTTTCATTCATCCATTCATTCACCCATCCATCTCTCCATAAAACACCCATTCAGCCTTAGTGTGAGCCAGGCACAGTGTAGGGCCTGGAGATAAGTGATGAGTAAGGAGGTAGGGCCTCTGTCCTCACAGTTTATGTACTTTTAATAGCTTCACCAAGGCACCAACACTTGGCCTCTGGCCTACAGGAGACTAGGTGTTCAAAATCTCAGAGTTTTTATTTCTCTTATTTTAACTTGGGCAAGTTTAAATTAGAAGTGAACTAATTCTATTCTCATGGCACTCTGGTAGACATTTTACATATACTATATCTTTCACTTCTCAGAGGAACCCTATGTAGCAGGTATTACTGCTACAAATAAGGAAACTGAGACTATGCCTAAGGTAGCAAAGCAAGTATGTGCAGAGTGGTCACCCAACCCAGACTGTCTGACCTGAGAGCTGTGCTTTGCTATCCTGCAGCCCTGTCTTGGCATGTGTTTACATGTTGTGTGGGGTAGTGGTGTGTGCTTCTATTACACCTACCAGACTGCTGTGGTTCAGGTTGTTAAATGGATGCATTTGGGGACTGGGGTGTTAGTGGTGGCCTCACATTCTGGGAAATGCTGCCTCATGAATGAAGAGTGTCAGGCCCTCCCAGTTCCCAGGGGCCAGCAGAGTTCTAGGGGAGTTGGGATCACATTCGCCATAGGAACAAATCCTATGTCTTGAATAGGATAATCCTCTTGGTCTTGAATCTATGCAGCGTGAGGGAGTCAGGGAGACCAGAATTGGCCCCGGGCAAAACCATATGCTCCTAGGACACCCTGTACCTTTTTTCCCTCAGAAATGGGGCAGAGGCAATGTGCCCTTGAACTAGCTCAAGCACAGAGTGGAACAGAGAAACCTAGGTGATAAACCTAAATGGCTCTTCAGCCACCTCCCACTGCAGGTTCAACATAGACCGTTTTCAGCCAGTCATTATAAGAGTGAAGTGTGGCTTAAAGTAAAGACCCCAGAATAGAATCGAGGGTCCCTGGGTTCAAATTCTGACTCCGCCTTTTATGGGTTGTATAACTTGGAGTAAATTTTTCACTTTTCTGAGCCTCTTTACCATAAGACAGGCTAATACTTAACATAGTGTTAAAAATATTGAATATTGAACATGTAAAATCATCTGTAACAGGTCTTTGTCTACAGAAGGCCCATGTCCACTATACGCATTAAAAGTTCATCGAGTGAATGTTACTGATGCCTTGTCAATAATCAAAGTACTGTCTTCCTAATGAAGGTCACTTATCTGGTTACTGAGAAAAATAGCTACTAGTCTTTATCTAAA